GCTCAGGTCACGATCCCAGGGTCCTGGGATCAAGCCCTGCACTGGGTTCGCTGCTCAGCGGGAAGCCTGCTTCTCCCTCTCCCACTCCCCCTGCTTGTGTTCCCTCTTCGCTGTGTCTTTCTCTGTCAAATAAATAAATAAAATATTTTTTAAAAATAAAATAAAATTATTTCAAAATTAAAGTTTTGAAAAAATAAAGGTGAAATAAAGACATTTTCGTATCAACAAAAACTGAGAAAATTTGTTGCCAATAAACCTACATTAAAGGAATATTAAAAGTTGTTTAGAGGAAAGAAAAAAGAGCACCAGAAATGGCAAGTATGTGAGTTAAATATTAACACCTATACATTTTGTTGTTTTCTTAGTTTTTTTAAATAACTGTAAATTAAAAATTACAACACTGTATTGTGGGATCTACACCATTTATGTTTTATATATGACAAGAGTAGCACATAGAACACAGGGTAAGTGGAATTACAGTGTTACAAGGTTCTTATATTTTATGCGAAAGAGTACAGTTATAACTCTCAGTAGACCATGATAAGTTAAAGATACATACTGTAATCCTTAGAGCAAACACTAAAAAAAACTGCAGAGAGGCTCAGCTAAAATAACAGCAATTAAAATTCAGTACTAAATGTGCACACCTAAAATCCAAAACACTGACAATACCAAAGGCTGGCAAGGATATGGAGCAACAGGAATCCTCATTCTTTGGTGTAACATAAAATGATATAGCCAACTGGAAGACAACTGGCCATTTCTTATAAAGTTCAACATAGTCTCGGGCGCCTGGGTGGCTCAGTTGGTTAAGCGACTGCCTTCGGCTCAGGTCATGATCCTGGAGTCCCGGGATCGAGTCCCACATCCGGCTCCCTGCTCGGCAGGGAGTCTGCTTCTCCCTCTGACCCTCTTCCCTCTCGTGCTCTCTATCTCTCATTCTCTCTCAAATAAATAAATAAAATCTTTAAAAAAAAAAAAAAGTTCAACATAGTCTCACCATATACCAGCAATCAGTGGGTATTTAACAAGTAAACTGAAAACTATGTCCATATAAAACTCTATACACAAATGTTTATTGCGGCTTTATTCACAGTTGCTAAAAACTGGGAGCAACAAAGGTGCTCTTCAACTGGGGAATAAACAAACCAGTACATCGATACAATGGGATATTCATGCAAGAAAATAGATGAATCTTAAGTGCATTTTGCTAAGTGCAAGAAGTCAGACTCAAGAGGATATATATTGTATGATTCCATTCATGTGACATTCTGAAAAAGGCAAAATTATAGGAAGAGAAAACAGAGCACTAATCACAAGGGTTTGGTGGAGAGGGTATAAATGACCAAAAGAGGACTTAACGGGAAATTTTAGGATGATGGGACTATCTATATAGTACTAGGGTGGTGAATGAATGACTATGCATTTGTCAAACCTCACAGAACCATACATCATAAAAAGTAAACACTAACATAAGCAAACTCTTAAAAGGAAAAATCACCCAGGGTGTCAGGAAATCCAGGACAGACTGCAGACTATGACAAATGAATCTAACTATATTATAAATGTATGACACAATAGTATGGGGGTGGGGAGGCAGGGAGTTGACGCTTTATGTTGGAAAATGGTACTCTCACTAGAAATTTTAAGGGTAAGAACAAAAGCAACTACACGTAAATACTACAGTTGGAAATCTGTTTCTCATTTCACTTCTCAATTCTGAAACTGTTTTACATGTATACTGAGGTAAGCAAAACGGATGGTAGCTGGTGGGTGCCAGGTTTCTTAATGTTGGAGGGGAAAGTTATAGATAAGCAAGAAGAAAAGGTAATACTGCATTAAAGTAGGTTACATCAATATGAACTCATATTTATGTATCTGTATATATAAACATGTATGTATATAGACATATACATAAACAGGTACAGAAATAATGACAGATATGTATGTATGCATGGATTACTAGACATGTACTACCTAGCTCTGTCTGCTGACAGGGCCTAGAAACAATAACACCCAAGTAACAAGTTCTTCTACAAGTCAGATCTTGGTTTCTAAATACCATTATCCATTAAAAGCAGCCAGGGCCCCTTGGAGAAATGGCCAATTCTAAAGTCGGGACAGGGAAAATACAAGATGAGTCTGGAGCATCTTGTAGTATCAGAAAGTCAGAGAGTGCTCAAAAAATAAAAGGATAGGGCATGCAAAAGGGACACCTTAAAGAATTCCCAGTGGCTAAAGAACAATTTGAGCAACAAAATAAATAACATGTTACTGGATTACAACAGTATAAAATATACATGACTTATTACTGACAAAAAATATAATTGACTAAATGGGGTGATGAAACAAATCCTTATAGGAAAAGTCCAAGTATTATATGTAGATATCCCACCCACAGGTCGCCTTTTGAGTGCAAGCTGAACTTAGTGACTCACTTCTGGAGAGCAGAGTACAGAAGGGGAAAAAGAGTAACTTTAAAGTGGAGAAACTGGCAAACACTGACCACCTTAACCAAGTGATTAAGGTTAGCGTCACCAGTGATGTCCTGTGGTTACCATGTACTGGTTAAAATGATTTGATGAGAAGGGCAATCCACCACTGTAGTAGTCTTTCCAAACACCCATAACCTCAGTCTAACCATGAGAAAAACATCAAATGAACCCAATTTGAGGGACATTCTACAAAATAACTGACCACACTCCAAAAAACTGACAGGGTCACAAAGAGCAAAGACTGAGAAACTGTCACATATCAGAGAAGACTACAGAGAATGACAGTTATGTGCAATGTGGAATCCTGAATTGGATCCTTGAACAGAAAAAGGACTTTAGTGGAAAAACTGGTGAAATCCAAGTAAAATTGGGTACATTAATAATAACATACGAATACTGGGTCTGATAAATTGTACCATGGGAATGTAATGAGTGGTAATAAAACTGGATGAGGGGTGTACAGGAATTCTTCATACTATCTGCAAATTTTGTATAAATCTACAATTATTAAAAAACAAAACGTTTATTTAAAAAAAAATAATTTTCAAAACAGTTCCCCCACAACTACAGAACACATATTTTCCTCAAATGCAAATAGATTATTCACGAAGGTAAACTATATACTGCTTAATAAATTTCAAAAGATCAAAATATTATGGCGCATATTCTCTAACCTCAAGAGAATTAAATTGGAAATCAATAACAGTGAGATATCTAGAAAAGTTGAAATGTTTGGAATTAAACAATGCATTCCTAAGTAACTCATGGATCAAAGAATGAACCAAATTCCAACACACTTTCCTGAAAAAAACTATCAGCAAACTAGGAACAGAAAGGAACCTTCTCAACTCAGTAGAGGGAATCTACAAAAAAAACTACAGCTTACGACATATTTAATGGCAAAAGACTAACGTTCTTCTAAGATTAGGAAGACAGAGATGTCTGTTCTTACTACTTCTATTCAACATCTGCACTGGAAGTTCTAGTTAGTGCAATAAGGTAAGATAAAGAACAAAGGACATTTGGATTGGAAAGGAAGAAGTAAAACTGTCTATATTCACAGATGACCTGATCCCTCTAGGTACAAAATCTGATGGAGTCTACAAAAAAGCTATTGTACAAAGTGAGCTTCAACTACAATAACAACTGATATTTGTCACCAATGAAAAGTTCAAGCTTTTAAGCGTAAATTAGAATTTCAAAAAACATGTATCTGCCACCATGAACCCTAGCTTCCCATTAAAGATTTTGGTGACGAGATCAGAGGTAATATTAACAAATACAAGATCAGTTGACGTTGTGTAGCGAAAAATGTCAACATTTGGCAGGTCTGAAAAACTCAGCAAACCAGTATTTTCCAAATGACCAGTACATGATGTTATAAAATCATGCACTAGGAAAAGATCCATCCAAAGCAGGGGGAAAAAAAATGGATTTTAATGTAACAGTATGGAAAGTTATTTGATACGGTTTCAGACTCCATATTACAAATCACCTTTAAGAAACTATCACTTGCTGAGTTTTTCTGTAGTATCAAAACATATAATACGCCTTCCTTTTCTAACTACCTATGTATAAGGCTGAATTTTCTAAGGCTAAATTTTCTTCCTGTACTTCAACTAAACATGGTGCAAAAGACTCAATGCAGAATCCTGCTATCTACTATTAAGCCAAATATGAGTGAGATTTGCCAAAGTGCTAATCAATGCCATTCTTCTATTTTCTTTGTTTGGAAAATAGTTATTTTTCTTAAAAAATATGGCAATTATGTTAACATAATGGCTTTATTATGTTTTTAATGAACTAATAAACACTTTTTAAACATCTCAGTTTAGTTTCTAATATAGTAAATATTAAAAAATATATTCCACATAAACAGAAGTTTTTTTGGGGTGCTCAGTAATTTTTAAGAGTATAAAGGGGTCTTGAGATCAAAATTTTGAGAATCACCATGCTAAGTGCTAGAACTACGTCCTTTAGTTGGCAAGAGGAGATGGGCTCTAACATGTAAGTAGAGGGACAGACTTTGGATAGAAACACATTTAGGTCATCGTGCTAATAGGCAGGAAATTAGAGTATATGGATAGATGCTGGTCATATGAGTCAGTGAGACACTGTAAGTAGCTCACTCCTAAGGCAGTGAAGAGAAGGTTCAAGGACTACATTTTAAAGATACAACACACAAAAGACTCCAGACTCCCACCCATCATTCATCCCCCTCTAAACCTCAGAAAATATCACTAGAAAACAAAGGGTATCCTACCTGCAGCACCAGAGTTATTTGTCCAGAGCTTTAAAAAGCTTTGAAACGGAAAAAAAAAGGAGGAGGAGTATTCTAAGCATGGGAAACAGGATCTAGGGACCTTAGAAACAGAAGGAAGCAAACTGAGTGTTATTAACTTTGTGCTTAGAGCAGAGAGTAAGGGGGAGTGATTTAAGAATGGTTAGGGAAGGTTAGGGTCAGATGGAAGAGAAAACAAAACTGTAGGAAACATTCAGGCTTACCTGTCCACTCCATCCCAGCGATATCCAGGCCAGATATTGAATCTGTTGGGAGGAGGTGCAGGACCACTGTAGCGAGGTCTCTCTAGTGAGAGGAGAGAAAGAGGAAAGAAGTTAGTTACCTATGTAACTCAATTCAGAGCTGGGTGGCAGTGGTAACAAAAAATTTTATACAGAAATCTCTACTGAGCTGAACCCAAATTCCCAAACACAAGGAACCTAAGACTGTATGGGAAAGCCCATACACGTGCCCAGCTAAAGACCCTCTCTCCTTCCATAAGTCACCTCCATCTCTGGTGAGTCCCAGAAGGCTCACCTTTCTTATTCTTGTTCTCCTTGGCTTTATTCTTCTTGATAAAGTTGGCCATGGGGTCCCCCTCTCGTTCCTGTTCTCTCAGCATCCGATCCAGATCTTCGTCATCAATATAGCGGGCCAGAGGCTTCTGCATTTCCTTCACTGCATCCTCCACATTTTGTTGCTGCTGCCGGCTCTGGGCTAGCCTGGGCAAAAAGAACCAAGAGCGTCTGCTATCCTGTGTAACATTTCCCCTCTTACACTGAGATAGACTATATGACTACATTTGGAGAACGTCATTTTTCTGGCAGCATAGGCCAAATATTGAAAAGAGTAAAATTCCTAGAATACCAACTGAAAGTGTGTACTCCATCAGTATCTTAGAAAGGAGACTGAGCACACTGGATTTTCCATTCCTGAAACAGCTCTGAAGGCAAAGCAATGACCTAGCTGGTCAGAAAAGTAAAGAATGAGCTTCTCCAGTCCTAGCGTAGTGGTGTTCTTCATTTCGGTGATTCTCTTACCCTTTGCCCCACTGAGCGTACAGCTCATCTCTCTCCAAGTCCTTCTCTGCTTTTCTCCTTTGCTCTAAACGTTCCAGTTTCAAATTCCTCTTACGACCAGATTTATCTCGAAATACGGTTTCAGCATACTGGAATTCAGCTGCAAAGGAAAATTCTACTTTTAAAGATAAACACCAGATATCAAAATCAGAAATAATTCTAACAGTTGAAATCAACCACTTGGGATTCTGATGCTGGATAAAAACTTTTGCAGCCAGACTACAAATAGTTCCTACCAATATCTAACCTTTTTCAAGAAGGAAAAGAACCACTTGGGCCCACTAAGAAGTTAAAATAATGCATAAAACCAGAGCTTTTGAAATTTATTATCAATTAAAAGTTTAAAATATCAGGTACAATAAACTACATTAAAAAAATAATAAAATCTACATGAGCCTCGAATGGTCTCTGCACTTTCACATTTTTACCTTCAAACGCCAGGGCTTCTTGGTCCCGTTTCTTGAGCTCCTGCTGTTCTCGCTGTATGTCAGTTAACACCAACCCAGTTTTAGCCCCAGAATACATGTGTGCAGCCTATGCAATGGAAAAGGGAGCATCCAACATTAATGAGACAATGTAGCAGCAGGCTCCAGGGTATACACAGTTAGGTGCATTTTTGCCTGATGATTAGCAATGACCAAACCAAAAACTCTAGCCTTGTATTCTCATTACTGACCACAAGATTCACAAAATAAAAAAGAATAAATAAAATTGAATTTGATGGCAAATTAATACCACTATCAAGTTTTAAGAATAAACAGAAACACAAACCCAGAGAATACTAAAGAAAAGGCACAGCATCTACATTTCTGACTTTTCAGTATATAAACTGCACACGTGAAGCCACACTCTCAGGTCACTGATCAGAAACCTGTATCAAGCTCTAAGCCCTCCAGTAGAGACCCACACTGATAAAATATTCCATTTCAACTACAAACTCAAGCCAACTAAGGTCCTTCAACTGTGGATATATTTTAGGATCATGACAAAGTTATGACCAAATCAAACCTTTTTATTAAACTCCATTTCATATCAAGATAAACAACCGACCCACAAATGGAGTACACAGTGTATCATGTGCAATGTACCCAATTTGATTACTAGGAAATTGTCCATCAAGTAAACAGACGCATAAAATGTCAAGGCATCCACTTGCAACACAAACCTCACTTTCTTGCCCAAAAGAGAAGAACCCCACTTCCTGAGTCAGGGACAGACTACAAGGACCATGTGGGCGACAGAGGAGACCTACCTGAAAAGTCTGGGTTGGAGGGAAACGAGCACGCTGCAGGCTCTATTCCTGTTTCTTAACCACCTCACTGGAATAAGATTCTGTCCCTAGCACTGATGTGCTTTACAAAAACAACTGCTCAGAGTTCATGTGGATGTTCTGGGCAAGTCATGCTTCATCACAGATTTAAAATAAAACAAAACAAAACACTGAATTCCCAGGTGGTATAATTTCCAGAAGTTATTTTATATTTTAAATGCCTCTCTTTAAGCTGTGGATACAGAGACCCGCAGTCCAATTTATAATAATAAATTGCTTATGCTAATGTCTCACTTTGTCCTGGGCACTGTGCTAAGAGTTTTATCTACCCTGACTCATTTAACTCTCACAATAACCTCATGAAGTACATACTGCTATTATCCATGTTTTACAGATGAAGAAGCTGGGGCTTAGAAATATTCCATAGCTTAGTCAAATTTCACAAACAGCAGTTGAAGAAGTAGGATTCGAATATGTGATTTGATTAAAACAAGGTCTGTACTCTGAACTCTACTCTGTAAACTATAGTTCTCAGTTCATTCCTAAGACAATAGGAAGTTTTTCCAGACCTATTAAAAAATGAGATCTGTAGAATAAAGAGGCTAGAAAGGCAGAAGATACTTAGGAAACCTTGTGTTTGCTAGTTTGTCTGGGCTGGGTTATAGGCAGTCCTGCCCTCAGAGAGAAGCAAAGAGCTCTAGAGGTAACTCTGCACTAGATATACTATGCAACCAGGAGCTACCTCCTCCCCCTCTGGTTTGTATATCTGAGACGTGTATAGAGATAGAAAACAAATCACTCTAAGGAAAGGATAGGACTCCTGAAAATTCCTACCTTCTTTCCTAAAGGCTGACTCCTTCGAGGTGGAGACAGATCAGAATCAGAAGATTTGACCCTCTGTTTCCTCCGCGGTGGAGACAGGTCAGAATCAGAGGTCCGATGTGTACGTCTACTTCGGGGAGGTGACAGATCTGAATCAGAATCCTTGTGCCCTGAACTTTGCTTATGTCGAGGAGGAGAAAGATCTGAATCTGAGGCTTTCCGACTGTCACTTGGGTAGGAGGAAGAGTCCAACACGTGACTCTGATGTCTCCTAGGTGAAGAGCTTGTGTGAAACTTCCTATGGCTGGGGGAAGAGTCTAGAAATTAAGAAATAAAGTTTTTAATCCCCTTGGCAGAATCTTAAAAACAGAACTTACCAGGCTAATATTCAATATTCATTCAGTCTTCCTCTAAAGAGCTATCACTAACCTAAATACAAGTACAGATGACACAGGAGAAGAGCAGAGTCAGGGACAACTCTTAAAACCAACAGGCAGGATGTGGAGTTCTATTCCCAAGTTACTAGTGACTGTGACTAGCATGTGAGACCTCAACATACTCATCTATGTCATATTTATCTGAGCATAGAATGGGCAAAACAACTTGCGCTCAGATCTCAGTGCTGTGGCAAAAGTTAAAAAATTACCTAGAATAGGGGCGCCTGGGTGGCTCAGTTGGTTAAGCAACTGCCTTCAGCTCAGGTCATGATCCTGGAGTCTCAGGATCGAGTCCCGCATCGGACTCCCTGCTCAGCGGGGAGTCTGCTTCTCCCTCTGACCCTCTTCCCTCTCGTGCTATCTCTCATTCTCTCTCTCTCAAATAAATAAATAAATAAAAATCTTTAAAAAAAAAAAAAAAAATTACCTAGAATATACCTGGGTGGCTCAGTCAGTTAAACATCTAGCTTCGGCTCACCAAGGCTCCCTGCTCAGCCCCGTGTCAGAAGAAGTCTGCTTCTCCCTCTCCCTCTGCCCCTCCCCCCATTCATGCTCTGGGTTCTCTCTCTCTCTCAAATAAATAAAATCCTTAAAAAAAAAAAAAAAATGAAAATAGTACCTAGGAACAAAGACTGAGTAAACAAATCCCACTGCAGAGGCCTGAGTTGTAGACAGAAACAACACAAATCAACTCTCAAAAAGGCAATCTGCAATGGGTATCAACAGTCTTAAAAATATACATCCCTCTTACCCAATAAGTCAATTTCTACTTAGTTTCCTAGGAAACATATCTAGATGTACTTAAATTACCAGGAAATCTACCTAAAAGTAGAGAAGGAAATAATCCAGAATGGGGCAACAATTTATGTAAACGGTTTACTTTAAAATTATAAAAGCAAAAATTTAGAAATAACCTAAAATATGCAGTATTAGGGAAATGGTTAAGCACATTTATGTAATGGAACATCAATAAAGATCATAAAGACAGAGAGATGTTTTTATGACACAGGGACGATAACGTTAAGTGAAAAACCAGGCAAGATTATACATACAACATGTATATACTACATAGTAAGAGCTTAACTACATAAAAAGTGAATAGAAAAAAGCCTAAAAGACCACTAGCCACAACACTAAGAGTGAATGGCTCTGAATGACAGAATTTTGTATAACCTTTCTTCTACTTCTTTACGCATCTCTATACACTCTGAAATTTTATGGGGTGGGGAGAAAAAACAAAAATATGTAAAAATGTCCTCCTTGCCATGGTAAATTTTAACTCTCCTCAGCCCCACCTCTCCCCATTTCCCTACAGTTTTTAAAACTTCTCCAAAAAATACCATTCTCATTTCTAAAGACCACAAGTAAAAGATCCAAAAGAAAGCACCTAGGGTGTAAGTCCCTCTCATGGGCAATCAAATGCTTACCTTTAGAATCATGCTTATGGGATTTTGCTTGCTTTTTTCGTGGAGGAGAGAGGTCAGAGTCATACTCATACTTGCTGTTCTTTGGGAGTGATGCATGAGATGGTCCTGGCCCCTTCCAATGTGGAGAAATTTTGCTAGAGGCTCTTTCTGGGGCTTTACTGCTTTTGGTTCTGGGCAGTGAATGAGGGACATTAGCAGCCAAATCAGGGGAGTCATGACAGGCCCTCCTGAGCTGCGATGTGTCCAAGGAGTCAAGAGTCCTTCTAGGTTGAGATGTGTCAGGGGAGCTATTTCGGGCCCTTCCGGGAACAGAGCTATCTGAGGAATTGTGATGGGCCCTCCTAGGAAGAGATGGATCTGGTGTGTTGTGATGGGCTTTCCTAGAAGACACACTTGAAGAGTGACGATGAGGCTTCCTGAGGGGAGAAGGATCCAGAGAGGTATGACAGGCCCTCCTGGGAGGAGATGGGTCTGGGGTGTCATGACGGACCCTCCTTGGGGGAGAGGAATCTGGGGTATCATGACGGACCCTCCTGGGAGGAGATGAATCCGGGGTGTCATGACGGACCCTCCTGGGGGGAAAGGAATCCGGGGTGTCGTGACGGACCCTCCTGGGGGGAGATGAATCCGGGGTGTCGTGACGGACCCTCCTCGGAGGAGATGAATCCGGGGTGTCGTGACGGACCCTCCTGGGGGGAGATGAATCCGGGGTGTCGTGACGGACCCTCCTGGGGGGCGATGAATCTGGGGTGTCGTGTCGGACCCTCCTGGGGGGAGATGAATCCGGGGAGTCATGACGGAAGTGTCTGTGTGAGGGCAGATCTTCACTGTGGCCTAAACACAAAGGGCAAAGAGTTACATTCCCACAGGTGCTCTATTCACCCCTGGTACTCAAAGTTTCAAAAGATGCCCTGGCAACATACATGTCAAAACTACTCAGAAATCCCATCTGCACAGCTCTTCCGCTTAGGGGCAGTAAACCAGCACTCCTGAATACCTTAAAGATAACCTCTTGTATTTGCCTAACAAGCCATTTAAATGCATTTTTCATATTATACCTTGGGCTGGTATAATATGGTATTGTATTATACCAGCTGGGCAGGTATCCTTGTTTCACAGACACGAAATCAGAGGCTCCAAGATGAGTGATTTCTTTTTTTTTTTTTTAAAGATTTTATTTATTTATTCATGAGAGACAGAGGGAGAGAGAGAGAGAGAGAGAAGCAGAGGGAGAAGCAGGCTCCCAAGGAGCAGGGAGCCCGATGCGGGACTCGATCCCAGGACCCTGGGATCACGACCCGAGCCAAAGGCAGACGCTTAACCATCTGAGCCACCCAGGCGCCCAAGATGAGTGATGTCTTAACGAAAGTCACAGCCACTAAGATAAAGAGATAGGCTAACACCCTGATCCTCTAGCTGTCAATCCAATGCTATTCCTAAAACCGTGTCTGTGCAGAACTCCCAGAGGCTCCTACTGATATTCAGACTAGATAAGACACAGTTCATATTCACTCTTCTTTCAAAAGGCAAACTGACTAAGCCTGTGCCACATCAAAATGAAATACTGTTAACTATTTAATCCACACCCCTGTACTCCTTACTGGGGGGAGATCACCAGATAAAAAGAGGGATCAGCATTTCCTAATCACCTACTACAAGCCAGTGGTTTATATAGATTCCTGCACTTAATTCTCTCAACAAGCCTGAAAGACAAATATTGTTATCTCCATTTTATAGATGAAGAAGTTGATACTGAGAAAGATTAAGTCATATTGCTAATATGTGGTGGAGTAGTGAGGGGATCCAGTCCAGATCCATCGGACTCCAGAGTCCATGTGTGATCTTTTAAAATAGGTAGTTGAGGAAAGAGTTTGAAACTTCCAGTTTTCAAAGGTCTAAGAGAATGAAATGTTTACAGCAACTCAGGACATTTCCAAAATCCAGTTTCTCCTCTCCCTCTGTTTCTTGTCATTGAGCTCCATGGCCCCAATACAAATAAATGCTGGGTAGGGCCCAATGAATAATTGCTAAGTGGATGAATTAAACCAAGTCAACTCCTTTACTTTGGGGAATAGTCCTATCTGGCTGGAATCACCACTCACAGAAGAGTACTGATATCTGTGGGAGACCTGACAGCAAATCTAATCCATGCCGTTGATAAATTAAATGATATTTATAAGAAGGAAGTAAGGATCAGAGACCAGTGAGGATATTTCCAGTGACAAAGGGGATGAAGCAGTGAGAGTGAAGAAAAAGAATTATCTAGGGGGAGGGGGGCAAGGGGGTGCGGGCAGTTTGGTATCACTTCCTAGACCTATAATATGGAGACCAGAAGATTCTCTCTGAAAAAAGGACTATGGAAAAGACTGGAAATACAAACACAGGATAAGGCAGAAAATAGTAAGAGTAAACAAGATTCTGATAAAAGAGTACATACTGATAATAAACTTTTTATTCATAAAACGTAACAATAATGTACTGAAAAGTTAACTGAGGCAATAGTGATCACTAACCTATAGCCAACTGTCACTGTCACTTTGGTTATGCATTTTTTTTCTTATCAGAATTGAGGGTAATTAACATAAGCAAAAAGTGTAACACAGAAAGAACAAATCCTGTTCAGGAGTTAATTCTTCTACCCTTCATGTATGAAAAAGGAACATGTGTCAAGAGTAAACTGGAGTTAAATGGCTATTCAGAAGATCCCTGTTTATGCCAGGCAGGGGAAAAACCAACACAAATAAGAATATGGCTTATCTAGGGGCGCCTGGGTGGCTCAGTCATTAAGCATTTGCCTTCGGCTCAGGTCATGATCCCTGGGTCCTGGGATCGAGACCCGCATCGGGCTCCCTGCTCAGCGGGAAGCCTGCTTCTCCCTCTCCCCCTGCTTCTGTTCCCTCTTTAAAATCTTAAAAAAAAAAAAAAAAAAAAAAAAAAAGAAATATTTACTGAATATTTACAGAAAAGATTTTATTTATTTATTTGACAGAGAAAGACACAGCAAGAGAGGGAACAGAAGCAGGGGCAGAGGGAGAGGGAGAAGCAGGCTTCCCGCTGAGCAGGGAGCCCGATGCGGGTCTCAATCCCAGGACCCAGGGATCATGACCTGAGCCGAAGGCAGATGCTTAATGACTGAGCCACCCAGGCGCCCCTAAATAAAAAATAAAAAAAAAGAAGAGGGCTCGTCTCTGCTCAAACGTGACAAACAAATGCCCTTTATCCAATCCTCAAAAACAAAAAATTTTTAAACAGGGAGTTAAATTATCAGCCTAGGGAGAGGGTAAAGAGTGGGCAAGTGGAGGATAATGCACTGCAAAATACCAATATTTAAAGGAAGAACAAAGAAAGATTTACTCCTCCAAAGCCCTATCTATGTACTAAGTGGCCCTATATTTGGGCCTGAGGGGAGTGATTACTGCAAGGTCCCCAAATAAGTCACTTCTTGACTTCAGTAACCCTAATGGCCAAAATATAAGAGAAAATGGGATACTTGGTCTCTCAGTTCCCATGTCTTGCTACCTCTGAAGAAGTTCTGAATTCTTTTTCACACTGTATTTTTCAGGATCAAGGACACACTAAAACAAACTATGAATTTCTCTAAAAGAAAAGTATACAGAACAAAAAAAGGCCTCCCCTCTATATGGGAAATTTAAATTTATCCATTGTTGAAACTAACCTCCCAGAAGCTTCCATTTGGCACTGGAACGAAAGGCTTCCATCTGCTTTACCTCTTCCGGCCGCTCATCCACAAACTCAGCCACCTGTCAGAGTTAGGACACTTGTGTTGAGAAAATCCACAGGACCCAGGCAAGGAGCACTGTTTTTTCAAGAACCTGAAGCTATGACCATTCCCATTCCTAATGTACATGGCACACGCCAGTCCAAAATAGCCATGCAGAAACATGCAGAAACATGTAGTGGTCCTCAGTTCTGTCTGCCCCACAAGATGTTTATCTGACTGTCCCTGGATAGTTTAATTATAGATCTTTCTCTGACTAATCAATTTTCCTCCAAAGGTGAATTTCTTCATTACAAACCTTCTTTATCAACCTGCCAGGTACACAACTGCCACGGATAAGCTAAAAGCTAAATTCCTTTTACCTTTTTACTTTTACATTCAGAGTGAAGATACAGGCAGGCTCCCTGTCATGCCTATCACTCCTCAAGGGCTTCGGGCTCATTATGAAACCTCTGTTGTTATAGGTAATCACAATGACAGGTTTTCTTAAATCCAACCAAAAGAAGTCATTAAGAAGTACACAGAATTATAGAATCTTTAAGGGATAAAAACACATTTCATATCATCCAAATTCCCAAACAAATCTGGAATCTTCTTGTATCCTTGATAAATTATCACTCACCCAAGTCCCTCCCTGACAGGGAACAGATTTACTGGCAGCGAACTCATTATGTTACAAGACAGTCCATTGTATTTGGGGGCAGTGCTAGAAAGTCTTTAGTTTCATTGGACCTGTACCTACCTTCCTATAGCTTCTTTCCATTAACTCTAGTTCTGACTCAATGCAATTGATCCTCTTTCCACATAACAGACTTTCAAAGACAACTGGTATAATAAATTCTAGTTACAGAGTAGCAACCACATGCCAGGCACTGTGTTTGGGCTTTATTTACATTATCTCACTCAATCCTCAAAACAGCCCTCCAAAGAAAGGTTCAATACTAATAAAGAACAAACTATGACTCAGAGAAGTTAAATAGATTTCTCAATGTCACAAGCTAGCAAGTGGCAAAACCGAAATCCAAACCCAGGTCATAATTCACCTCTATTTTTCTGTTCCCAAGAGCCTACCATCATTCCTCAAGTAACATAGTTTTGAGATAGGAAAGCACAGGCTTGAATTCAAGCAAGATAAACTGAGATCTAAATCACCAGCTCTGCCACTTAATATTTGTGTAGCCTTTGGCAAATTATTTTCTCTAAACCTCAATTTCCTCATTTGTGGAAGGACGACTCAAGGTTCTATGAGTATTCAGTGAGATAATTCATGTAAGCTAAGCAGCTTGGTACGTGGTAAATGCTCAATAAATTATACCCATTATTCCGTGCTGCCACTGGTGCTTGTTCTAATTATTTTGCCATTATTACTGGTGGTGGTGGTGGTCTTGCAGTGACAAAAATGAATTCAATAATCAAGATCTGCTTTAACCAGTGTAGAGAGCAGTGGGGCTAACACCTCCCTTGTTCGGGTTTTGAGGCAATCATAACAGCAAAAGACAGTATTATAAAGGAAAATTAATAGACTTGATTATATAAAAATTAAAATTTTTAAATGTCAAAAACTTGAAAAGGCAAATAAAAAATACCTATGACAGTAAAACAAGTAATATATTCTTATTTACATAAATATCAAATAAATCAATGAAAAAATTTAAAAGTCCAATTTTCTAAACAATGGAAAAATGCCAAAAAGTCATAAAATACAAATGCCCAATAAACATATGAAAAAAAACTATTCACTATTTTTCAAAGAAACTGGATACCACTGTTCACCTGCCAAACAGACACAGGTTTGAACCTATTGCTTTTGTTGTTATAAATAATTCTCTAGTACTGATGAAGAAATGGGGAAAATGGCATTCTCAAACAACTCTAGGGAGAGTATAAATTGGTACCACCTTTTGGAAAGCAATATGGGAATACAGCTCAAAAGGACCATACTCTCTAACCTATTAATTTCATTTGATAGGAATAAAGAAATAAACAGATTTCCACAATGATTTCTCTACAAGATGTTTTTCAAAGCATTATATTTTAAAACAGAAAACCACCCATGCATACAGTAAAAGGACAGGTTAAATTAATATATGTAATGAATTACCGTTGCAATCATTAAAAGTCACGTCCTCAGAGAGTATTTTAAAATCTTACTAAAGTAGTCACAACATATTATTAAATGAAAGAGCAGGTTCCAGTACCATATGTTCAGTATGATCCCGATTATATTTAAAAAATAAATAAAATACAAGTACGTATAATCTATGAATTAAAGACATATGCCTCCAAATGTTAGCAGTTATTACCTCTGGACAGGCACAGCGTGATTATTATATTTTTTTCAAAATTTTAAACCTTCTTGTAATTCCCAAATATTCTGCAAGAAATATGTATTGCTTTTATAACATAAAAAAACAAATGTTGTAAACATTAATTAGGTTAAGTGACTGGATCTGACTCAAATTAATTGGCCCCTAGGATCACTATTTCCCTTCCTTTTTTTTTTTTTTAAAGATTTTATTTATTTGAGAGAGAGCAAGAGAGAAAGCACACGAGCAGGGGCAGAGCGAGAGAAGAGAGAGAAGCAGACTCCCCACTGAGCAGGGAGCCCGATGCGGGGCTAGAACCCGGGACCCTGGGGTCATGACCTGAGCTAAAAGCAGACGCTTAACTGACTGAGCCACCCAGGTGCCCCCCGGCCCTTTTTTTAAAGTAATCTCTAAACCCAATGTGGGGCTCAAACTCAACCCCGAGATCAAGAGCCTCACGCTCCACCGACTTAGCCAGCCAGGCGCCCCACTATTTCCCTTCTAATTACTAATAAACTTTCTCTTAAAAGATGTACCATAGGGGCGCCTGAGTGGCTCAGTAGTCGGTTAAGCACCTGCCTTCGGCTCAGGTCATGATCCCAAGGTCCTGGGATCGAGCCCCACGTCCTGGTCCCTGCACGGTGGGGAGTCTGCTTCTCCCTCTCCCTCTGCCTGCTGCTCTGCCTACTTGTGCTCTCTCTCTGTGTGTCAAATAAATAAATAAAATCTTTAAAAAAAAAAAAGATGTACTACAGAATATGCTGGGGACTAACATTGAATATACTCATCTGGAATTCATTTTTATAACCTTTTAGTGCAATACAGCCTATCAACAGCTCTCCTTCTCACCATGTTTCTCAGCAAGGTTTCCATGACAGAACCAACGCAAGATTATTTGCCTACGCTTTTGCCCACTTGGTTCTTACTGGTCCTTCAAAACTCAGTTCCGGTATTTACATCCCTAACAGAATTTCCCAGTGGGGGGGGGGGGGCGCCTGGGTGGCTCAGTGGGCTCAGGTCATGATACCATGGTCCTGGGATAGAGCCCCATGTCGTAGGGCTCCCTGCTCAGCTGGGAGTCTGTTCTCCCTCTCCCTCTGCCCTCACCCCTGCCCTGACTTATGTGTGTTCTCTCTCTCTCAAATAAATAAATAAAATCTTAAAAAAAAAATTTCCCAGTGGAATAAAAAAATGTGCTACTTCCCCAGTGCTCTAATAGCACTTGGTACATATGTGAAATGTCTCTCCACCATTTATCACATTGTTGAAATTTGAAATTCAGTCTCCCATTTAGGGTATGGTCTCTAAAGTACAGACACTAGGGTTTATTAACCTACATATCTACAGTTCTTAAACAAAAGTATACAATTTTAAACCAGTTGAATCAATGAATAAAAGGAACAAATAAAAAGGTTCCTTTAATTGAAGCTGAAATTGTTTTTAAGGTACATATCAATAAACTGAACCATGGCTAATTGTAAACATTACAATTAGAAGTCCTGTCTCTCTGGGATTAGTTCCCATTTCTAGGCTAATGAGGCCCTCCATAAACAAAGAAAACAGTCTATAGGCATCATCAAAGAAGACTACTTTAAAACAGCTCTTTGAAAAGTGTCACTGCCCTCAACATATATGTATAAATCTACCCTGTACTGGGAATCAAGATTGAGAAGGCCTCACAGCCTCAAAAGATACATACCACAGGCAAATCTCCATCATCATCTTCTTCCTCCTTTTCCGGTTTAGTGGTGGAAATAGATGTCCAGCTCACATCATCATCCACAATCCGCATTCTAAATGTGAAAAATAAAAAGATCAAAAAGGAAGAACCATTCCTGGGTAACAGACTATAAACACTTATCTATGGATTTTAGGATAAAGCTCAAAATCCTACAAGATTCTACAAGGTCCAGTCTTTGCCTATAGGGCGAACTTCACCTTGTACCACTGCCTCCACATTTCACTACCTTGCTGGCCATCTTTTGGTGCCTGGAATGAGCAAATTCCTTACCACATCAGTTTTCACATAATCAGTTCCTTCCCTCTGCCTGACCTACTCTTCTTTCTTTAATGGGAAACTCTTAAGATTCTTAAGAGTCCTAGCTTATATTTAACTTCCTTGAGCTTCTCCCCTTACCTCCCTCAACCCCTGTTATGCATGCATGGAATACTTTCATTGTATTATTCACAAAGAAAATAAATCAATTAGTTATGTAATTAGATGTGTAAAGCCCATATGCCCATTTAAAAATCTACAAGGTCCACCAGAATAGGGACTGTGCCTTCTCACTCACAGTGATATCCTCAACACCCTGAAGTAACTGGCATAAGAAGTACGTATTCAATAAATGTTTGTTACACAGATAAACTGTGGGTGAGTCCAAATAATTAACAATGACTGCCCTGATGTGAACAGTTCTATGTGAAAAACCATTATCACTTTATACATCTCTAATCATAACCATAAAGTGATGTCATTATTACTCTCATTTTAAAGATGTGGAAACAGTCTTAGATGAAATATCTTGCCCAAGGCCACACAGCCCACAAAGTGGCACAGCTAAGACTCAAACTCTGACCAGCATTACTCCAAAGCTCAAGCTATTTTCACTACATGGCACTGTCTCCAAAGAATCTACACAAGTTGAAGGGCAGGAAGACAGAAAGCAAGAATAGGCAAGAACCAAACCAGGAAAGGAAATGGCTTTGTTCTTTGAAACTGGGGGTATTGTTCCCTAGGGCTGCCTAACAAAGTACCACAAACTGCGGGGCTTACAACAACAGAAATATATTCTCTCACAGTTCTAGAGGCTTCAAGTCTGAAATCAAGGTGTCTGCAAGGCAATGCCCGCTGGGAAGGCTCTAGGAGAGGGTATTTCCTTGACTCTTCCAATTTCTGGTAGCCCCAGGCATACTCTGGCTAGTGGCAGCGGAAATCCAGTCCAATCTCAGCCTCCATCTTCACGTGGTGATTCTTCCCTAACGTCTGTTTGTGTCCAAATTTCCCTCCTCTTAAAAGGACACCAGTCATATTGGATTTAGCGCCCATCCTAATCCACTGTGACCGCATCTTAACTAATTATATCTGCAAAGGCACTATTTCCAAAGAAAGTCACATTCTGAGGTTCTGGGTGGACATGAATGGTGAGAGGGGCACTAGTCAACCCAGTACACTGGGCTACAAAGTTTTCTCATGTGAAAAACGGGGATAATAACACCACCAACTTCGTGGTAGTATTATGAAGCTTAAAATCATATACGTCTGAAGTACTTAAAACGGCATCTGATACATGACAAGAACTACAAATGTTGGTTATTACTGTTAACAGCATGACTGTTAAGAGTAACAGGAAGTAAGCATAGGTCTCTGACTCAGGACCAGAGTCCCTAGGATTGCTGAACCCCACAAACAGGTTCTGGGCCCTAAATATCCAAACACGGAGGCTTTGGGTGAGCTCCACCATTATTCTCAGGACACTACATTCATTCTCTACGGGAGAGGACGGAACGCTATAAAGGCAGGAAAAGAGTAATGAAAGTTAGAGCCGGCTTGAGAAGGCGAAGATACCGCCCAGGGGCGCGGGGCGCCTGAGCCGGACTCCAGACGAGCCCGGTGAGGAGCCGGGCAGGCGGCGCGGAGAGGGGAAGCGCCGGCCGAGGGCGGAGCTGGGGAGGAGAGGGGCGGCTCGCCGCCGCAGGCCCCGCCCCGCCAGAACCAACTCACCCCTTCCCGCCGACCCCGCCGGCCTTCGGCCGCTTTCTGCGACGCTTGCGACCGGAGTCAGAGCCCCCGTCGACGCCGGCACCTGCCCCAGACAAGTAACGCTTCAGATACTCGGCCTTGGAGAGCGGCGGAGCTGCCGCCATGGCAGCGGTGAGGGCGGGGAGACGGCTCGGCACTGGGGACAAAATTCTTGAACGCGAAACGCACGGCGGGGACCTGAAGGGGCGGGGCCGGGACCGGAAGTGGCGAAGAGTGGTGGAACTGCCCCGGGCTGACAGCAGTGCGCTTTTGCAGGCTCACGAGGAGTGCGCGTACGTCCTGTGCCCACTCCGCGTCCCTCTGCTGGCCCAAGCACGTTTTCTGTTTGTCCCTCTATCTACCCAACTTATGATGCAGCTCCAAAAGCACCGATGTCGTCAAGAACGTGGGTTCTGGAGTGACAGTGTATCTAAGCTTGAGTCCAGGCTCGAAAGTTCCTACCTGTAGGACCTTGGGCAAGTTATTTAACAAACTGGGGAGTATAACGGTACCTAACTCAATGCTTGCGAGGAACGATACTTTTACTGCGTGAAGTGCTTAGAACAGCGTCTGGGGCACAGTATATACCAGTTATTTGTATTCGTATGTGTTTAGGTTCGGGGGTAGAAACTGCTCTAACAGGCTAAGTACCATTCAAGAGAGGAAATCAGGAATTCCAAACTAGCTACCTTTTGCTTGGGGTATTTCCAATGAAAAAGACCTGTCTCTATTTTCAAAAAAAACCCAGGGAAGCTAGAGAGGTTGAATTCTAATTCTCAAGTTTTGGAGGGGGGGGGAGGTGGAGGGCAGAGACACTACTTTTCTTGTGAACATGAAGAGTTTTACGTGAATTACCTCATTTAACTATTAAAATTCTCAAGTGGTTCTATTATCGTGTTTTACAGATGAGGAAACCGAAGCTTGGAGAGGTTAAGGAAGTCGCCCAACTTCACACAGCCAAAACGGGACCCTTGGAAGCAGAAGGTAGCAAAGTGAAGTTCAAGAGGTAAAAACGAAGTTTGTGAAATAAAATATTAGATCGAATATGTCCCTTATCTCAACATGTTAAATTTTTGTCACTGTCTGAAAGCATATTAGTCAAGAAGGCTTGTTATACTTTATAAATGCTCAGAATTTAATACGTGCTCAAAAAATATTTATATATATTAAAACAGGTGAGGATGTTACAGCCCTGACCCATGAACTTTCAACCTCTGGGTTATCCTGACTGGTCGAGCTCAGGCCCAGGAAGGAAAGCAGACTGGGTTGGGTCATGAGGGCTTGTGGGGACACTGAACTGATACAGGGCTTCACTAGCTGGAGGGCCCCAGAGGTCCCCCCGACACAACCCTGTGCCAGCTTCTAGTCCACTTTGGTGGATCTCTAACTGAACTCCAAAGCCCTGCCTCTACTACCCTTCTGTCAGCAGGCATTTGAAAACCTCATCTTTCTGCTCCAGTACCCACTCAGCCCCATCAACCCATCTCCTGCCTATTTGTCTTGAGTTCCACCACTCCCCTTTCAAATCAACACCCAACCTTGGCCTGACAAAACCCACGCTCAGGGGGCGCCTGGGTGGCTGTCGGTTAAGCAGCTGCCTTTGGCTCAGGTCATGGTCCCGGGGTCCTGGGATCGAGCCCCATGTCCCGCTCCCTGCTCAGCGGAGAGCCCGCTTCTCCCTCTCCCTCTGCCTGCCACTCTTGCCTACTTGTGCTCTATCTCTCTGTCAAATAAATAAATAAAATCTTAAAAAAAAAAAAAGACCCATGCTCAAATCCCAACCCTGTGTACCTCATAGGGTGGCACTGAGCTTTGCCCTCTATTTGTTAGCTGCATCTAATAAAGCAAATGCAAGAACTATGGGTTTGACCTCCAAAGTTCACTTTAAATTCCATGAACAAGGGTTTTATTTTGTTCAGTTCTGTGGTGTACCTGGCACAAAGTAAGCACTCAAATATCTACTGAAGGAATGAATGAATGCCAGCTCCAATCCCCAAATTGACTACACTGGGGAAAATTTATTCAGGAGGTTGAATTCTATTAGCATAGTATCAAATAAGGACAGAGTAAATTCAGACGCCAGTCCTGATGGAAAGCCATCACTTTAATGAGAGCTTCTTCTCCTATGCTGGACTCCCTCCCCTCAGAAGACTCTTTTCCTGTCGAAAGCCAGTATTTTATATTCCCCAGCCAACTCCCAAACTCCAGATGTAGCTGTCTTCCATCTTCAGAATTCCAACCCTAGAGAGAGCATTATGTGGAGGGAGAGTAGAGGTGACAGGAAAAAAAGGAATAATGACATGCACCATGGTTCATTTCTGGGTTTCTTCCCAGGCCAATTCAAAACCTCCAAAATACAGTCAAGTAAACAGGCTTGCACTTCCATCACAAACTGTTCACAAAACTGCCCACATCTCTCAGACCACATGGGGGCTGAGGATACCCCCAGCCTTTCCCGACAGTAATAAATAACCCTTTAGTCTAAGCAGCACTGGAGGCTGGCTCGGGAACTACCTGTCGCTACCGCTGTGGGGCCAGGCCTGTCTCATAGCCCTCTGTCTTCATGTCATTGAGCCCTAGCTCCTCGTTTTGGTCAAATGTGCGCTTATAATGCTCCACCTTCATCTGAGGATCATCTTCAGGTGCATACACGTTCTGTAAGGCCAAGGACAGACAATCAGTGCCTGTGCCACCCAGCTGCCTGTCTCCCCCCACCACCAGCAGGTAGCTTCCAACTCCCACTTTCCCAAAAACTTAACGTTTTTTATTCTAAAGGCCTCCAATTCCCCATAGCTAGGCTCAACTGGCAAGCAGCAACAGAGCCCAACAGAGTCCCAGGAATGGGACTATCCAGCCCTAGGCAGAATTAGGGAACAATCTGCCTAAAAAACTTCCTAACTGCACCTTCCTATGATAGTCTTAATCGTAGAGAGTCCTTAAACAGTTTTGCCTGACCAATAATAACTGCCCAATAAATGTTAAAGTTATTATAAATCCCCAGAATATCTCCCCAGTCAGCTGAAAGCCTCTCCAGTTTCCTATTTCAGCCTCTGGACAAGGCACCATTTCTCCTCACTCCACAATTAAATTTTCAAAATGACAATTCCATTGCTGGGGACAAGAGCTGGACTAGAGAGAGGAAGAGTCTAGGAGTATCTTTTTTCCCCTCTCAACACACACTTATAATCCCTCCCACCTCCCCCTATACTTCCTTATGGTTCAGATTCTAAGGTTTCTTGATAAAGAGCAGTTCATTCAGAATCAAGTCTCCAGTTTCTGGAGAAGTAACACATATTCAAAGAAGGTCAGAAAATATATCTCCGTGCACTATCAGGAAAGGTCTTCTGTACCTGAAAGTAGCTGTTTCCTGCTGGATCATTCATAATAAAGTGGGCCTTCATGTTACCCTGAAGGATCTAAAGGAGGGAGAACACAGCACATAAATTTTACATAGCTCATGGGTAGGAAGGGGCTGTGTCTGCCAGACAAGGACCAACCCAATTTACATGGCAGAAACCCCAAAAGTTTCAGAAACTGTTGAAATGAGGTACCTCTCAAAGTGGAGTGGAGAAGACTTAAAATAAGGACTGTATGAAACCTACTTAAGAAGCAACCTGACATCCCCAACCCCCTCTCCCTTGCACACAGGCGAACAAATGCCCTTCCCCCACCCCAGCAGAAAACTGCAGGAATCCGTGGAGAAGCCACCACCACTGCAGGCTAAGGCCTAGGCGGCGCCCGCCCAGTTAAGGATGGAGGAAAAGGCAGCAAAGACAGAAGGTTAAATGAATGTGTTGTTATTGTAAACAGACATACACACCCAGCTCTCTTCCCACACACAGCTCTCAGAACACCAGCAGCCAAGTCCTCCTCCTCAGGCCAGGAAACAGAACACCCGCTGATGGGAATCTGAGCAGCCCAAGAGGAAAAACCTAAGGACTCTGGCACTGGGGTTACCTCCACAAAATGGCTAAGCTAAATCCCCCTACAATGAGCCCGACGTGAATAAGATTCAGCTCCACGACTATCAGACATGTGAGCAAAGCCCCAACCTTGAAAGACAGAAAGTTAAATGGAAAAACAAAAACAAGCAAAAAAAAAAAACACCCAAGCAAACAAAAAAACAACTTAAAAGGAAATGGAAACTATGCAAGGAAAATAAAACATCAAAAAAAAGAAAAACCAACATTAACATTCTCAAGAGGAAAAAAAAATACCACATCCTTAAAACAACAGGATGCTATTTAGCAAAGGAAGGAGGGAAGAGTACTCAAAGACCAAAAAAAAAAGCTCTTGGAAAAGAAGTCAGTGGAAATGAAAAACCCAACTGAAGCTACTAGAGAAGAGACTCCCACAACATAAGGGAGAAAACCAAGAAAGAGTACATGAGGTATCGGAAACCAGGGGAATCCCCAACGTTGGTTAGATGTTCAGAAGGCGGCAGGACAGGGCAGGTGGCCTCTTGCCCACTGGCACCCCAGGACCACAAGTACTGAAGGGCCAGAATCATCTCACCTGGTCTAACTTCCAGCTAAACTCCTGCAGTTTCTCCACCTGGCCAGGATTGGAACTGTCACCCAGTGTGAAAGGGTTCTTGGTCACCTGCAATAAACGGCATCCAAAGTGCTAAAATACTGGCTGTTTCTTAGGTTTGACCATAAAGCTGGTGGGAAATGGCAGGAGGGTGCCCAGCCAGGGAAGCTCAGTCTCCACACCACCTTTCTGACCTAGGTAGCCACTGCTAAGAGCACAGAGATTAATCTGCCAAGATGACAACTGGCAATATAAAACAAAAACTATAAAAATGTTCTTCCAGGGGGAACTCTAGTTCTCATTTGAAGAAGAAATGCAAAGTAAAGTGTAATTTACAAAGATAAAATGCCTGACAACTGGGAATCAATTAAGTGAAATTATTCAAGAAAATAAATATATGGGCTAAGTCAACACACAAATATATATGCTGGGGAGTTTCAGGGGCTGGAAGGACCCTCCTCCCCTCATTTTACGGTGAAATAAGCGGCTTACCCAAAAACCACAAAGTATCTACATTGTCCCAGAGGCAGGACTGGGAGTTTCCACTCAGAATTTCCCATGAACTTATCTTCACAGTCCAAAATACTATTTAAGTCTTTCAAATCAGCTTTTAAGGCAAAGAAACCCCCAGTTAACAGCTCCAAAAACTAGGACATGTGAGGCCTTCTAGCCCCTTCCCCACAGCCACATTGCTGAAGCAGCCATGCACTATACTCGGGCCACTCACCAGTTCCTGGATGTCTTTCAGTAGCCCTTCCAGTGTGGTGAACTTGCCCCCGAGGATGGCCATTCCCAGTTCAAATTCCAGCTCTGGGATTTCCACACTACACGTCTCAGACTAGGAGATGAGAGATCAAATTAAGCTTTAGATCAGGAGTCTCTTCGAGAAAGCTAACCCAAATTCTCATGCCAAATTAATACCACTGCTGACAGTTTGCGGAAAAAGTCAGCTGCCCCAGTCTTCTCAGACTCTCCAGCTAAAGCTAGGCTCATTCCTATCATGTGAACCACAGAAATGGAACCAACCTAATAAAGGGACATCCTGAGTCATGGCTCCAAGCTGCCAGGTATCCTGTCATTAGAGGCCAGAGACAGGGGCCCTTATAGACACTGGAGGCAAAAAGCTGCCAAGTCATCAGAGAATTTATGGGTCACCATACTTCCTACCATGGATTAACTCTGCTATCCTGAAACCCAGGGAAGTAAGGAGGTACTCCACAACCCCAGGATATAATTTAAAAAAGACAATTTCCCCTAGATAGAAACAGCCCATGTGAAGAAGACAGACACTTTCCCAAGCACGGTGTTACCTTGAGCACATCTCTGGTCAGATCTAAGGGATCTGTGATATGGAAGGTGATCTTGGTACCCAAGGGCTCTACTGCTCCTCCAGATTTCACCTGCACAGACAACAGTAGTCAGGAACAGCAGCAGATTCTGATCCTCACCCGGTGTCAGGGAGACCTCAGAGGATGGGTTTACACCTCCAACCAGGCCCCCTTACAGCTACCAAGGACAGAGCCTTCTAAACCAACAGTGGCAGCAGGTCACCCAAACCAGAAACACCAAGAGCTGGCCAAGAGCCTGCCAAAACTTTTCCCAAATTGCCAACAAACTCTGAATTTACCTTTTTTAAAAAACTAACTCTTGTGGTTCAAAGGGACTTCCAACTGCATCCAACATGTAGATGCACCTTATAATATTCTGGGTTCAGAATTTAAACAGTTTATGCTTGAATACACTTGGGGAAAGGTAATTTACAACCCTCCAAGGCAACACGTTCTATTTACAGAGAGATCTAGAAAGTTCTTTATTAGAGTCAAAATCTGCATCCCCACACTTCCAATCCTCTGACAGGTGAATCAAACAGAGTCTCAAAAAAGGGGGGAGGGAGAAAGAACTCAAATACATGGAGGCTAAAGAGCACCCTACTAAAGAATGAATGGGTCAACCAGGAAATTAAAGAAGAATTAAAAAAATTCATGGAAACCAATGA